CCCCCCCCCCCCCCCTTCTTCCCGATGATATACCTCTAGCAGCCAAATATTGTAGCTTCTCATATAAAAATATACGTCTAATGCAGGAAGCAAAACAACTATGGGAGAGAATCCAGGAGAAGCAAGGAGTTAACAAATGGCGCCCGGATCTTGAGGAAGAGTATGAAGACCAAGAAGGAAACATCTATAACAAAAAGACATACACAGATCTGCAACGGCAGGGTTTGATTTAGAGGTGAGGAGGTCATTTAATAGCCTGAATGGTTTGACATTTTGGTAACAACTAAATCTGGCTATGTTACTCTGTCCTACTATCTACTTTTTACTTTTCAGAAACCAAAGGCACCATGTCTCATGATGTTATCTTGCAGTTTTTCTTCAGCTTAGGCATTAATTCCATTTGGTGCATGAGGCTGGGGAAAGTTTGTATTTTGTTGTGGTAGCACTGTATAAAGCCTGTTCCCCAGTGCACATGACATGCATGGGGCATATTTTGTCTATACCTGGATGGTGAAGTCAAGGATTTAAGTTTTTTGTGAATTTCTTTTTTCTATGAATGAATGGGTCGCGGATTTATATCAATCTCTCAAGTCAAATCCAAATTCGGATCCAATTGTATTAGATTATATCAACATTCGATTCAGATCGGATCAAATTTGGATTAAGAGATCCAATTAACATTTTAGTGGTATTTTCTTAAATTATTTACAAAAATGTCAGAATTTTGTCTACTCAACATCATAAATAACATTGAAGAAGTAATGATTCCCGAGTTATGGTTCAAATTCCCATGTAACCAATCATAGACTAATTAGGATGTTTGTTTCATTATCTTAGATTCGTCTTTCTGCAGCGTTTCATCTTTGATTTGTTATGGCTAGGTAGCTCTATTAAAAGAGTTGTCTGAGTGATTATAGCTTTCACTATCATCCCTTCTTCCAGTCCTTTACTTTGTGTTTGAAATACTAATATTAGTTCCTAAACAAATACTCCCTCCCGTCTTGAATAAATTTCTGCATTTGATGGGAATGTACACTGCGTTGTAAAGTGTTTTGGAAAATGGGAGATATGAGTAAAACATAAAAATAGGAAGAAAGTTTATTTGGAGGGAGTATATTTTTCGTTTGAATAGCTAATTTGTTACTTTCTTCATAGTTTTTCATTTTTTTAAATTTCATTTGAAATAAAAATATAAAATCGTTGAAATATGATTCTTGAAGTTATGTTCTGATTTTTATTAAACAAAAAGGTATTACTTTTTTTAAAACCAGTTTTACTTAAACTGTTAGATATTTTAAATAAATTTATGTTACAAATATATTTTTGAAGTTTTTATGTTTCAAAGTTTTGGGAATTTAATATCCTTAAAAAATTGATTTTCGAGAATAATAGGATTTTTTTATCAAACATGTTTTCAAAAAGTTTTAGAAGCTATTCGTGTGGGCAAGGGATGAGCAGTTATAAAAACGCTTTGAAGAATTAAGTACTAAAGCAACAATTAAGACATTAGTAGAAATTCACTAGAAGCCTTCAAAAAAAGACATTAGTAGAAATTCACTAGAAGTTTGAGGGTGTGTTTGCTGAGCAAACAACGTATGGATTTTGATATCTCCAAATATCAAAATTCATTTTAGGTGTTTGGTAAAGCTAAAAAAGATATCGAATTCAGTTTCTCCAGATATCATAAACTCCTCAAATGGAAGATTTCGATATATCTCCAACCATTGATCATTCTCCGTCACCAGCTACCATTTTCACCACCAACCACCCTCGTTATCGGTCACCTCTGTTTATCACTTATTAAATCATGATTCTAAATCTTTCCAAACAAATTCGTTTTAGATTTCAAAACACATGATTTCTCTCTGATTTCATAACTCATATACCTTGAGATCATATCTTCAATTGCGCCTCGTTGAATTAATTATTTAGGTGCACCGACCCCTTTGGTAAAAACTATGTTTGGGCGCGGTACAAACTAGTCAACGAAATACATGTGTTGCGTGTTTTTGCATGTGACTAGATGTGAAAATATTATCTGATGATATACATAATGAAAAAGATAAACAATACATAATTATGGGTAATGTGATAGGCCACTATACTTCAACTGCATATAAATCATTGGTAATGTGATGCGTCACTTTATTGGATGAGATTAGAATAGACCTAAAAATGTAAACAAAAGTTTATTTTCTAGAGCAACATAAAAGTTTAACAAATGGGAAGGGAAAAATCAATTTCACATAAAAGTAGGAGTATAATATCACCACATCCTGCTTACAAAAAATCTATTTGAGTGAATAACATAAATCTATTTGAGTGAACAAAAAGTATTTTAAAAATATAGATAAATATACTAGGACAGAGGTAGTATATCAATAAAAAAATTCTCATATATAGAAATAAAAAAGTAATACTTTTGAAAAATATTAGTTTAATGCCAGTTATTAATTTTTTTATTTTAACTTGCACAAGCAGGTTAAGAGGAAAGATAGTGGTATTTTTGACAATTAATAAAAAATTTAGTGGCAGTTTAGTAACAAAATAAAATAGGTATTTTTGACAAAATATAATAGTTGGATGACAATTTTGTAAGTGCACTCTTGGGTGCACACGTACTCAGCGCAGTGGTCATACCACTAAGCGTGGGCGGCGTTAAACACTGCCCCCTTTACCATTATAGCAGCGTTATTTTTACAGCGTCTATTTATTTGATGCAAATTGTAGACCAAAATTTTGCCGTTGGATCCCCCTCCCCCTGCCCCCTTTTCCGTTATCGCACCGTGTACTTTTTTTATTCAATTAATATAATTTTTTATTAATGAATGTAATTTTTTATTTAATGAATGTAATTCTTTTAGTTAATAAATGTAATTTGTTTAATGAACGAATGTAACTTTTTAAATTAATGAATGTATTTGTTGTTCGTGAATGTAATTTTTTAATGAATAAAATTAAATAATTTAATTTTATTAATTTAATTTTAGAAAATATATATTTAAAATTAAAAAAATGAAAGTTTGAAATAGGCTTGCCTTCAAACGTGAATTGGTGAAGTTTGAAGCCCCCGCTAGACAGTGATACCAAGAAGGCATCTGGGATCGAGCAAAGAAGACATCAATGTGGAAATCCATTTTGGGGGGAGATGAAGATCAGCAAGATAACATTTTGGACGATCAAGAAGGTCTCTGCGCTATATCTCCTCTGCAGGTAGGCATTCAACACTTGAGCTTGTCGATTCCCTCTTTCATGTTAAAAGATTTAATCCTTACTGGAAACCCCCATCTTGGGGTTTCTTTTTGGGGTTTTGGTTTGCAGAGAGTATATGGGTTCGCTGCTTGTATGGTCTCTGGCGTAGTTTGTATGTTCTTGGTAAGAACCCATTACTCTCTTTTTGTTTTTCAAATACTGGAAACTGTGTTAGGGATGATGAAATTGGTTCCTAGTGGCTCTTAGTTCTCTTATCTTTTTTTATTATTCCCAGAGTAGGTAAAGAATTTCCGAAGTTTATAACCAAACTGGAATTATTGCTTTTGGTTCCTAATTACTATTTAGTCATTACGATTTTCAGTGTTTTATTGTTTTCGCAAAACCCATCAAGTTTGGTCTTCTGTTCACGTTTGGCAACCTGTTGGCAGTTGGAAGGTATGTTTTATCTTGATTACCTTAAAGAAAATCCAACTCAAGATTACTTATTTTTCTGTAAAAGGAAGTGAGAATTTAAAGAGTAACTCTTCATACCAATGAGTGTTTTCCTGCTATTCAAAATTTCTTTTTAACTCTTAAAATCACAGATTGTACAATAATGTATTATAGCCTTGGTGATTTTGCTGTTATTTTACTTATTTATCATACAGGTAAATGCAATAGTGGACCTAAGGTCCACACATTTTTTTATAGACCTACATTTATGTAAAGCACTTCTAAGCTGAAATTGGTTTGATAGTCTTTCATTATATTCACTTAAATGTTGGAAGCCAGAGCTTCATAAAATGTCACCTTAACTATTACATTTTATCTCACTACTATACTGCTGGACAAATAAGGCCTCTCTATTCCCCGCCTCTCATTTTACTCCCATTCCCACATAACAAATAAGAGACTATTCATTTGGGATTACAATCCCCAATCCCTCCCTCAAGTTTCTCGTACCAAATACTCCCTAAAAACAATACTTGTGATTGCTGTTATGTGACCATATTTCATCTTATGCTTAGTTAAGACAACTACCTAATCAATCAAGGCACTGCTTTAAAAAAAGTAGATTATTATTGTGTATCACTTATGTCTAGTACTCTAAGAGGCTAAGAGTGCCTAATGCCCTACTCAGCCTAGCATCAAAGAAGACCATTTCCATAGTTGTCCTTTCGTCCTCAGGTTTCCTAGCAGGTGCGACCTAGGCAACTCCTTGGACTAATTTTTAATACACTTGTGTCCTGCTAGTTTTCGAAGGGCCCTCCTTTTTATCCCAACATAGTGTGAATATGATTGCTCCACTTCCTTAACAGAAGGATTTCTAACTTGACATTTGGTATATTATAGAAATTGTTTTACTTGCAACTCTTTATGGTTTCTCCATCTAATGGCAGCACAGCCTTTCTGATTGGACCTCGGCATCAAATGACAGTGATGCTTGATCCTGGTCGTGTTGTTGCAACATCACTCTATATAGGGTGTGTAGCCTTTGCCCTTATATGTGCACTTTGGGTAAGTATTGTGCTTCTGTGAATCGCATATCTTATCCTGTTATTGTATATATTCTACTCCCTTTGTCCGGATGTAATTGTCTACATTTGAGTTTTCGTCTACTTTTGTTATTTTGTAAATCAATTATAATAATATATCTAAAATACCTTCTACGTAGCATTGTTGACACCAATGAATAGCAAATTCAGTCAAAGGATTTATTTGATAGTCCCTCTATCCCCTAATACGGTCCACACATGATCAAATCATATCATTTTGTTTTGTTTTGTAGAGCTTTTGGTGCTTTTAAACATATATTTTTTTAAATTGTAAACCAATACTTAAATAAGTTGAATTGCAAATATATTTAGTCAAGCATCATAAACCAAAACAAATCTGCTATTATAGAATGGATCAAGTATAATGGAAATTGGAAAACTAAATCAAGATAGGATTATATCAAGATAAAATGAAGGAAACGGGGAAAGGAATATGAAGGAGGCAATCAATAACCCACACACACACATACATATAACATTAGTAATATATGAAGCATCTTAATTATCTTAACTCATTTTCAAGAATTTTTCTTCCATTTATATAGAAGTTTAGAGAACCTAAAAATATTACTAAGTACAAAAACGAAGTGTCTTCAAGCTTTTCCTTTCAAATCTCTCATGTCTTATGAGTACTTAGAGTTGCAACTACTTTTGGGTCTGTTGGTATCCAAATTCCTATGAGATGGTTTCCCCTTCTTCTTTTATGTTTTTCTACCTCTGCTTTGTTTACATTAAAGTATATCATTTTTACTTCTTTTTAATCTATTTTTCAAGATCCACAACAAAATTTTGACGGTACTTGCAATCATATGCGAGGTCTTTGCCCTTATCTGGTAAGTTCTTGATGTTCTATCGTTTTTATTATTAAAACAACGAATTTGCTCTGTGACCTGTGTTTTTTGTGGCATTATATTCATTACTAAATACAGAGTAATATGATAAAACATGATGCTACTAAAGATGAACAATAAGAAACTAGTATGCTACCCAACCAAATGCTACTTTATGATAAAAACATAATTTAAAGGTTAGATACTAAAAAACAGTATGTAAATGCATTCACTTTGAATTGGCATGACCCCAAATCTCAATTATACCCTCCATGCTAACACACACACACACACATTAATAGGTTCTAATTGACATCACATTACAAAGACAAATAATCTTGTATTATTTTAATATATTTTTTAAAAAATGGGAGGGCATGCCAGCCCTAACGGGCCAATCTTTTTTTTTGATACAATGGGCCAATCTTTTTTTGATACAACAGGCCAATCCTAATTCTTATATCTGCCCAAATAAAGATTGGGCTCTGCCTGACCCGCCCATATTGGTAATTATTGTTGCCCATATCTGCCCATTTGGGAGGGCAGGCTGGGCGGGACCGGACGGGGCGACGGGCCGATTCTTGTTTGCACTGATCTATTTTACTTTTACAGAGTTTAATTAAAGTGTTGAAAAGTAAAAATGGCTAATAGAAGTGGTCAAAAGGAGAAATTTTTCTAGCCACAAATTCTTTACTAAAGGGAAAGAGTAGTTTTTTTGGGAGTGTGGAAGAGGGGAGTATACAAAAATATACAACTAAATAAATATAACTCCCTAGCTTCTTTTGTATCAATAGCAAACAGTGTAATCATGTAATGGAAGGCATGCATTACAGTTTTACTTCTGCACAAGATCATTACTTCAAATGTTAACACCAGCATCCACTCTGCTGTTCCAAAAAAAAAGAGTCATCTTTAATGCTTTTTATGTTTAAAAAGTATGCCAAGCAAGTTAAATATACTCAATTTTGTTAAGCCAACAAATACAACAGTCCCGATAATATCACATATGGTGAGAGAGTGGGTTCTTTGGAGGGTGAGCGAGTGCATGTAGACCTTATCTCTATGTGGGAAATAGAGAGGTTGTTTTCAAGAGACCCCGATTCAAAACAAAAGGATGATTTTAAAAATTGGCTATGAAGTATTGAAGTATAATGTATGATTTTAAATAGATGTACCTTATTAATTTTTTTTTTGTGTATGCCACTTTTTACTGGGTGCAAGAAATGAACCAAATAGATCATTTTGAGTTTTGTGTTTCAAAAGTAGAACACTGAAATGTATGTGAAGATAAATTCTATTTGCTTGCTGCTCATACAACCATGCCAATTTTACTGTATACGGAGTAATGGAGTATACTAGAAGCTCTATGACTTTCTATGACTGTCTCCCTTCTCCTTTAAAGTTTGAAGTTGTATACTGGTGACGCTGTTTTGGCTGATAAGTAGTCTATCTAAAGTTGTACCCCTTCCATTCTCAAGTAGTTGCGCATTAAACTAAAGCCATTTTCTTCACAAATAGAAAACATTTAGAAAACAAATTCTCTGTAAGTTAATACATTGTAAAATAACTATGTTGCCCTTCCATATTTCTTTTAGTCTTTCCTGTTTTAGTAATCAATAGTGTTATGTGTGTCAATTTATAACCATAATGAAGAACCATGTTCTATCCACAAATTATCCATAACAGATCAATTTAAAAATGGTGGGAGTATACTTCAGATGTTCAGTTCGGGCTTCATTGTTCCACATTTCGATGTAAAGGTTGTGCTCTTCTTTCAGGTATACTTCAAGTTATATCCCATTTGCTCGAAGAATGATTTCAAATGTGACAATTCATCTCTTTGACACGGAAATCTAGATGCTTCCCTGTGGAAGAGTATGGTGATGAGGTGATCTGTTTTTAACAATAAATCCACGAAAATTTACTTGAAAATGTTATCTATGATGACTAGGGAGAGCAAATGTTGAATTATTTTATCTAGATTTTAGAGACAAGTTTTACTAGACCACGTTTGTCAAAATATCCAAGCACATGTTATTGGCATCATTTTTAATGTGTATTTAAGTTAGTGCAGAGTATTTATTAAAGGGATCCAAACAAGAATACTAGAAATAGGTGAGAGCATGTCCAATGCTAGGACAAATATCTAGTCCCACTAATTGCCACATCATAATTAATGGGACAAGGCTTAATTATTCATGTTTATCTCCATTGCCATGGTCTCATGTTTGGTCCCAAGTAGCTAAAAAAAGCAATCAAAATTAAAGAAAAAAGATGGTGGAACGCTCCCTTTGAGTTGGGACGCTCCCAAGTTTTAAGAACTAATCCAATGCAATGATACTTAAATAGAGTCCCAAGTTAAATGCCACATAGGAAAGAGAATAGGACTTGAGACTAGCACTAGACACACTCTAACTCCTCTAAGGATCATTCATTAAGGGTAACAGAGTAATCACGGTTTCAAATAACTTGTGTCGTGGGAAACATGCCCAAATTTGTCTACCATACCCATTCTGACAATGTCATTATATCGGTAAGTTGGCAACTCTCCATCCTTGGCATTGAGGCACCTCAGAGTATCTAAAAAATTCAATGCCTAATTGGCAAGTTGGCAGATCCCAGACAGTCCCAGTCGCTTCCTCTTTAAGGTAATCGATCATGTTATTCCTTCCATGCCGTGAAGAAGGTGAAGGTGTTTGTCAGGCATTGAAGACATACCTTATATCCTCTCTGGTGCTCTCAAAGCTAGAACACGGGGAGACATTATATTTGTACCCAAGGGTGTCTCCTAAGGCCGCCATCTCCATGTTAGTTTTGGAAGGAGATACTCAGCATTCAGTGTACTACATAGCAAATAATTTGAGAGTGGTCGAGCCGATGCGTTTTGTTGTTGAGAAGATTGTTTATTTAGTTGTTTGCCACACTTATGCACGTAGATATAGTGCTCTTTACTGTTTTCAAATGAATGCAATTCTCCACATTTGTATGTGTGGTGTTGTAAAAACACATAAATGCGGCAAAACAAAACATTAATAGTACATGTATGTGTGTCTAATGTGTGTAGAAATTTTTCCCACATCACTCGTTGCACTTACCTCATGTGCTGCAAATAGTCTATCCCAGAGTTATATGTGCAACGAATAGCATTTTTAAGTGCGACAAAATGTCAACTTTCTTGTAGTGACTCTTGCTTCACTAGAATAGTAGAAACTGGATAAGACTTTTGCGAACATGGAGGTGACCGAGAAAATAGATTTTTTAGATCTCCATTGCAGCAAGCGAGCATGTCAAACCTTAACTCTTTATCAAACTCACCAGGAGTGATTAGATGCAAAGAAAGCTTTGAGATTAGACAATTGGACCCCACTTCTTTTTTGATTAAATTTTCTATAGTAGTCTTGTATATACCTTTTTCCCTTGGATGATGTAGTGGTCTCATTGCCATTGTTCCTTATATAAATTTTTGAATAAAATAGTTTTTTTCAGAAAGTTCATTAGTAACATAAAAAACTATTCCACCATAAGCATTACACTGTAGTAATGTAGTTGTAATTTGGCACTATACATGTGTACTTTAATAATGTAGTTGTAATTTGGCACTCTACATGTGTACATTACTATACATTTTGTTAATGTGCATGATGATGTTTAGTAATGTAAATGCATTTTAAATTCTATTTCGAGAACAACAACATGGAAGTCATATTTTAGTATATTTTCAATGTTTTACTCCTACTTTAGTTTTTTTCCCAATCTAATTTAAGTTTTTTGAGTTACTTACACTCTTCTGAGTTCTTAAATAAGACTCGTGCTTCCGGAGTACCAAATCATAAGTTAACTTTGAATGTAGGCACATCTGTTATGTTATTAATAAACATTGATCATTTATTGTGTTTATGTAATGATACACGATTGGTAGAAACTCGATTGCTAATCACTCAATACAAGGAAAGCTATTATCTGGAAGACGCATGGGGGAAGAGCTTGTTATTCTAAGACTATCATTGACAACATATGATACACAAATTCCATTCAAGTGTCAAAGACAATTCTCTGCATGTGGTTACTTAATATGCAATGACAATTAACAAGAGTCAGGGACAATCTCTAAAATATGTTAAATTATTGTTACAGAAACCAATATTTAGTAATGCGTAGTTGTACATGTTGCAGTTTCAAAAGTAACAAATTGCAATGACTTAAAAATTATGATATATAACGAAGAGAATGTTCACACAAATTGTACGAGTTATTGGTTTAAAAAGAAATCTTTCGAAATTTATAAATCATTTACCTTTTGTACTTTAAAATAATGATATCTCTATATCCTTTATCATTTATATATAAATTTGATAGTTTAGTCTCTAAAAGAATGACATGTGTCAAATTTCAGAGAGTGATGTATGTTACTCCGTAATATTTAGAGAATGACATGTGTCAATCTTTAAAGATTTTAGAATGGAAAAAAGATCAAAGTAGGACTAAAACATCAAAAATATACCAAAATAGGACTTCCATGTTTTTATTCCCGAAATAGGACTTACATTACCAAACATGGTCATATACATTACCAAAAAAATATAGTAATGTGCACATGTACACTGCCACATTACCACAGTACAAAGTCACATTAGCACAATGCAAAGTCTTATTTCGGGAAAAAAAACATGAAAGTCCTATTTGGGTACTTTTTTCTATGTTTTAGTCACATTTAGGGTGATTTCTATTTTAGTATTTCATCTCCTTCTCCTTCCTTCTCCAATTATTTCATCTTTTTTTTACTATGTTTTTAAAAAAATGATAATTAATTATTTTGAAGTCATGAATCGAAATTTAGAATTAATAGAATCTGTAAAATCTAAAAGCATTTTATTTATCATAAGTACACACAAACATTTTTTTAATACGTGGCTCGAATTTAATAAATTATAAAATTTTGAAACAAACTTTTATGCATATGAATATTTTTTATAAAACAAAATGTTGTAATCATGTCAATTATAAATCATACAATTCGTAAGAAGATCTAAAAAAATTATGTTATTTGTCAAGGGATCAACAAGAATATATTTAAAAAATTATTAAATAGAATTAAATGCAAAACAAATTAAAACAAAATTAGAATTTCAAGCATTTATTTAGACAATCAGTCAATAGGATAAAAAAAGAAAATCATTTTTTAATAGAAAAGTGAATAGAAAGTAAATAAACTAAAACAATATGAAGATGTTTAGCATTTATTGATAATAATTTGATCTACTTATAATTATAAAAATATTTAATACAAAATAAATATAATAATTATTTAAAAATATATCAACATATTGAACTTCAAATTAATAGATTTCTCTTAATATATATGAACCTTTTAGCATTTATTGATAATATTTTGATCTACTAATAATTATAAAAATATTTAATTCAAAATAAATACTCCCTCCGTTCCAGTGTATTCGTCCAGTTTAACTTTTTTAGTCAAACAGGACACACTTTAATCATTAATTATTCTCAATTTGTGTTGCATATCAATACAATAAATTAAAATTTAAAAGTTCTCAACAAGATAAATCTATTGAATTAATTATTATATAAAATACATTACAATTTTTATTTAATTGAGGTCTAAAGTTTATCCAGTTTGACTTGAAAAAGTCAAACTGGATGAATATATTGAACGGAGGTAGTATAATAAATGACTAGTGGTGAATAAAAAAACTAAAACAATATGAAATTTTTTATCATTTATTGATAACAATTTGATCTACTTATAATTATAATACTTCATTCGTCCCAAAAAGATTTCTTATTTTGATTAACGTGCAAAATCCCGTAGATTTTAAAATGATTTTAATTCCATATTAGTAAGGAAATAACACTTAAAAAAATTATATTTAAAAATTACATTGAAAACTCTACAAAATAAGAGGTGACAAGAATATTTTATTTTATCAAATTATCAATGAAAACATGCAAACAAATAAGAGTTATTGAGAGGGCGTAATAGTAAACAGGAAAGGCTTTTTTAGACAGATGGAGTAATATTTAATACAAAATAAATATAATAATTATTTAAAAATATATCAACTACTATACTTAAAATTAATAGATTTCTATATTTAACCTTTTAGGATTTATTGATAAAAATTTGATCTACTTAAAATTATAAAAATATTTAATACAAAATAAATACTACTTCATCCGTCCCTGAATATATTACAATTTTTTTTTCTCCTCTCGATAACTTTTGTTTCTTTACGCAATTTTATTAAATATTTGATAAACTAAAATATTCTTATTACCTCTTGTTTTGTAGAACTTTTGACATAATTTTCTTATATGTAATTTTTATATCTTATTAATATACCAATTTATAAATAAAATGATTTGAAAAAATAGGAAATTTTACTCCGTAACTCGCAATTTGTAATCAAATTGGGGACGGGAAGTATAAAAAAAGACCAGCGGTGAATGAAACATGGCTTTTTGCGTTCTTGGACGGATGTATTGACGAATCGTTGTCGCCGCGTGCCCCATAGATCGTCGGTGTCCACGTGACGGAAGCGAAGGAGCTCCGAGATGTGACGTCATCGGAGGAAAAAAAAATGCGGGCAAGATCCGAGTCCGTCGGGATAAAGATGCGATGCGTTTTTTAAGAGTGGTCCCCACCAACAACAGACTTTTACCCTTTGCGAATTCCCGGCGGATGAAGAAATCTGATTCTAGTCGAACTCTGCTTCCGGTTTCCCCCCCTTAAAGTATAATAATAAGTGGGGACGCCTCGCCCTTTCCGCCCGCTGATCTCCAACTGAAACAGAGAGAAAGAAGCGATTCACTGCTTACCATTATTAATTCCAGAGTTTGTTTTTTTAAGATAAACTCAATTGGATTCCCTCCCCTCTTTAAGTTTTCTTTCTTTAATTATTTTAATCCATAGCCGAGTACCAAATACCGGCCTCCTTTCGCATCAGGTTGGTTTTTGCCACCTACCCACCTTACCTACCCCCCACCCTCCAATCAATATTGACGGCGATCTCGTCCCTGCATCCAATCCAATCCGATCGGAAAACCTTTTTATTTAAACAAGTTCCGAGCTTTGTTATTGGGTGTTACTTGTTGTTTGTTGTGATGTCTGCTGCGTCGAGTTCCAGCTCCGTTTTTCACGTCAGGCGCGGCGAACTCGTCGCGCCGTCGCCGGCCGGGAGGAGTCTGGTGAGCCGGCTGCCGCTGGGCGTAGGCGCTCGGAGAGCTACTGGCAGGAGGACCGGGTGTTCTGTGTCCAAAAGGTTTAGCGGGACGACGGCTGAGCTTCGGCCTTTGGGCTCCCACAGGTTGCAGCTCTGGCAATCGGATCGGCGTAGCAGAGCTCCGAAGCTACGGCTGGTGGTGCGTTCCTCGTTGTCTCAGGTTCCGGAGAAGCCGCTTGGTCTCTATGATCCCTCCTATGATAAGGACTCATGCGGCGTCGGATTTGTGGCTGAACTCTCCGGTCAAAGCAGCCGCAAGACGGTATAATATAACTCGCTGTTTAAAGCTCTTGTTCTGAAAATTAAGAAAACAAAATTTAAAAATGAAATAAACGCAACCGTGGCGTGTAGGTGGCAGATGCAATCGAGATGCTGGTGCGAATGTCTCACAGAGGCGCGTGTGGGTGCGAGACCAATACGGGTGACGGGGCTGGAATTCTAGTCGATCTTCCTCATGACTTTTTCAAGGAGGTCGGTATGCTAATTCGTAAAGCTACTCGTACTTACTTATATTGCATTATTTGTCAATGCCCAGTACTTTAAAAAAAGAGAATTTCATTTTTAAATTTTTAATAAGTGCTTTTTTATTCGACATAGGGTCTCTCTCTCTCTCGTTTTTTACCCCATGTTTTTTGAGTTCGAGATGAACTGTAACTGGGTAGAGAAAAACTAGAGGGAAATAGAACTCTTCTGTTCATCCAATATGGTCTTATTGGACCTTCCAAAAAACTGGTCTTATTGGTGTTGGTGGTTTTCCTCTATCAAGATGTTGAAGTATTGATTGATGACCTTTTTTTGTTCTGTTTTAGGTAGCAAAAGATGTTGGGTTTGAGCTTCCCCCTCCCGGACAGTATGCAGTTGGCATGTTCTTCTTGCCTACTTCTGCTAGCCGAAGAGAGCAGAGTAAAATTGTATTTACAAAGGTAACTCTAAGCTAGAATACTGCTTTTGTAGTTCACCATAATAATAAAAACACTATACACTTGTGATGAAGAGATAGCTGGTTTAGGTGATTAACACGCGTAGTATTTTTATGCTTCTGAAATTAGTGTCTGAATGTATAGGTGGCTGAATCACTTGGTCATCAAGTCCTCGGATGGCGACATGTCCCGACAAATAATTCAGGACTAGGAAATTCTGCTTTGCAGACAGAGCCGGTCATTGAGCAAGTGTTCCTTACACAAACCCCCCGCTCAAAGGTGGATTTTGAGCGACAGGTAATTGTGGAGTTTCATATACACACACACACACACACACACACATACATATATATATATATATATATATATATATATATATTACTTTGAAAAGCTTTTGGTTATATATAATTGATTTGAAATTGATGCATGGCAGATGTACATATTACGGAGGGTTTCTATGGTAGCTATTCGAGCTGCATTAAACCTCCAACACGGCGGCTATAAAGATTTCTACATATGTTCTCTTTCCTCGAGGTGAGTTTCTATGCAGTTGTATTACTTGCAGTCTGTTTCACTTATATCATGCGATTTCTAATGATTTGATTTTGTCTTATGGTAGGACTGTTGTCTACAAAGGCCAGTTAAAACCTGATCAGTTGCAAGAATACTACTATGCAGATCTTGGCAATGAAAGGTTTACGAGCTACATGGCCCTGGTAAATATATTATCCAATCTCTCTTTAATTGTACACTGACTCCATACTTCAACAACCAACAGCATTGGATCAACCCTAACAGGAAGAAATGCAAGGTTGAGAAAATGACTTCTGAGGCATTGAAGTATGTATGATCTCTTAAGTTCTTCCACTTGATCACTGTTTGAGTTGGATTCTTGGTTTACTTGGTCAGGACCTCATTATGAAGTCATCAATGTTTGCAGAAACTTGATGTCATCCTTTTGTATAATAACATTCCGAGGATGAAACCTCAATTAGTGGGGGGAAAGGAATTGTGTCTGGTCAAGGTTACCTAGGGTTTTGATCCATGTTTCCCAGCAGCTATTATAAAATTCAATCATGAATCCAAATAAAAGTATTGTTTCAGATTTTTGTGCTGTAGCAATTTGGATTTTCCTCGATTCATTTTCATGGGTTATGGTGCAGGTTCATTCTAGGTTCTCAACAAACACCTTTCCTAGCTGGGATCGTGCTCAACCAATGCGCGTCTTGGGTCACAATGGCGAAATTAATACACTACGTGGTAATGTGAACTGGTAAGTCATATTGCAAAAAAATGATCAGAATTGTTAGGCCATTTGTGGTCTGGATTTTTCATCAAATGGAAGATTGAGATCATTGGTCAACATGTCAAGGATTCTTTTTGAATTTATTTTTTCCTTTCTTCTTTTTTATACAGTTGAACAATGATGTTCTTAATCTTCTTATTCATTTATTTGACGTCAAGGGTTTTTCTTAAATCAAATTATGTGGCATTTTTCGCTTTGGTATACAGTTGATTAACACTGTCATAATTCATTTAGGATGAAGGCTCGTGAGGGTCTCCTGAAGTGCAAGGAGCTCGGCCTTTCTAAAACAGAATTGAAAAAGCTTTTACCCATTGTTGATGCTAGCTCTTCTGATTCAGGTTTTGCCCTCCTTTCAACCTTTCAATTTAAACTTTATGCATATGTTATTCACTCATTTTTATTTAATCTCAATATAGGACGAGTAGTAATTAAAATTTTAGATCCTATTTGGAAATCTCCTTGTTATGTGTTTATCGTATCTGTTCCTTTTTTACTTTAGGAGCATTTGATGGTGTACTTGAGCTCTTAGTTCGTGCTGGTAGAAGTCTACCTGAAGCTATAATGATGATGATTCCTGAAGCCTGGCAAAATGACAAGAACATGGATCCTGAAAGGAAGGCTTTATACGAATACTTCTCAGCTCTCATGGAACCTTGGGATGGTCCTGCTCTCATTGCATGTATGGATGGCGTATAGGGAAGATTTTTACTTTGACAATTTGAGGTTTTATGCTTTACTTAAATAACTCTTTTGCATGGCTTGAAGTTACTGATGGACGCTACCTTGGAGCAACATTGGACCGCAATGGTCTTCGGCCAGGCCGGTTTTATGTCACACACAGTGGACGAGTTGTAATGGCAAGTGAAGTTGGTGTAGTTGATGTTGCACCTGAGGATGTATGTAGAAAAGGAAGGCTCAATCCTGGAATGATGCTTCTTGTGGATTTTGAGAACCATGTTGTTGTTGATGATGATGCTCTAAAACAACAGTATTCTCTTTCTAGACCTTACAGGGAGTGGCTTGCAAGGCAAACAATTCTATTGAAAGACATTGTCGAGTCTGTAACAGAGTCAGACAGGACGCCTCCACTTATTGAAGGAACTATACCTGTGAGCTACTGATCTCTTGTAGTCTCTTTTTTTCTCAATAACTGTAATTTCACCCATTTTCTGATTTTTCTCTTTTTATCGCTTTATAGCCATCCAATGATGACGATAACATGGAAAATATGGGCATTCAGGGTTTATTGGCTCCATTGAAGGCATTTGGGTATTTTCCCTTTTATTTTCTTCTATAAAATAGAATATATATTGCTTCTGCATTTGCAAAGAGTATGTAGCAAATTAATTTTATTGCCTTCATGTAGCTACACTGTTGAGTCCTTGGAAATGTTGCTACTTCCTATGGCAAAAGATGGAACTGAAGCACTTGGTTCTATGGGTAATGATGCTCCATTGGCTGTGATGTCCAACAGGGAGAAGCTTTTATTTGACTATTTCAAGCAGATGTTTGCTCAGGTCACAAATCCTCCTATTGATCCTATCAGGGAAAAAATTGTCACTTCCATGGAATGTATGGTTGGCCCAGAAGGGGATCTTACGGAGACGACAGAAGAGCAGTGTCATCGCCTCTCACTCAAAGGTCCTTTGTTGAGCATTGAAGAGATGGAATCTATTAAGAAGATGAACTACAGAGGATGGAAGAGCAAGGTTCTTGATATCACCTATCCTAAATCATGTGGAAGTAAGGGTTTAGAGGATACCTTGGATAGGATTTGCTCTGAAGCACATAATGCAATCAAAGATGGTTATTCAACACTCGTACTTTCTGACAGAGGTATATATGTATGTATGTATGTATGGCTGTATGCATGCATTATCAATTGCACACGTGCGTGCAAACACACGAGATTTGATGTTCATGGTATTAAATTGCTTTTGTTCCCTTTTTGTACTTGAATAGCTTTCTCTTCCAAGCGTGTTGCCGTGAGTTCTTTGCTGGCTGTTGGGGCAGTGCATCATCACCTTGTCAAAAAGCTTGAGCGTACTCGTGTTGCACTGGTTCTTGAATCAGCTGAGCCCCGTGAGGTTCACCATTTTTGTACACTTGTAGGTTTTGGAGTTGATGCTATCTGCCCGTATCTGGCCATAGAAGCTATATTGAGACTGCAGGTTGATGGAAAGATCCCACCTAGGACAACTGGCGAGTTTCATACTAAAGATGAGCTCGTTAAGAAGTATTTCAAAGCAAGCATGTATGGGATGATGAAAGTTCTTGCCAAAATGGGCATTTCAACTTTGGCCTCATACAAAGGTGCTCAAATATTCGAGGCAGTGGGCCTTTCATCAGAAGTAATTGACCGGTGCTTTGCTGGAACTCCTAGCAGAGTTGAGGGTGCCACCTTTGAAGCACTTGCACGAGATGCACTTAAGTTTCATGAGCTAGCATTTCCCACACGTTCTCTCCCTGCTGGAAGTTCAGAGGCTGTAGCACTCCCTAACACTGGTGATTATCACTGGAGAAAAGGTGGTGAGGTTCATCTCAACGATCCCCTTGCTATAGCCAAATTACAGGAAGCTGCCAGATCCAATAGTGTGGCTGCCTACAAGGAGTACTCCAAGCGTGTCCAAGAACTAAACCAACAGTGTAATTTAAGGGGCCTTTTGAAATTTAAAGAGACAGGAGCAAGAGTTCCTCTTGAGGAAGTTGAACCGGCTAGTGAGATTGTAAAACGTTTCTGCACTGGAGCTATGAGTTATGGGTCGATATCATTGGAAGCTCATACAACTCTTGCTGTTGCAATGAACAGAATCGGGGGGAAATCAAACACAGGTTGGTCATTGCCTTCAATTTACCAAATGATTGTAAATTTAACTGATTTGTTTTTAGTTGTATCTGTGTCTGCCGTGCCAGAGGCTAAGATTTGTGGTTGTGCCTATGATTTCCTTATCCGTCTTCATAGCACTTGTGCTTTTTGTCTAATTGTTTTCACAGGTGAGGGGGGTGAGCAGCCTGATCGCATGGAGTTTCTTCCGGATGGATCTAGCAACCCTAAAAGAAGTGCAATTAAGCAAGTTGCAAGTGGAAGATTTGGGGTCACAAGTTATTATCTCACAAATGCTGATGAGCTACAGATAAAAATGGCACAGGTAAGTTTTAATAAGTACGAGTAAATTAGTCTGGGATTGATACAAGCTATCCGTAGCTGTCTGTATTCAAATGGTTGGTATGGTAACATTTACATAATAGGAGAAAAGATCATATTGATTATGAGTTACAGAGGTTAATGACACCTTTTTAACATATTTGCATTTTCATTGATCACAGTGTAAATTTACAAATTTTGTTTTCTGTTTGTAATTAATAATTAAAATTTTCCTTCATGAAGATTTTTTATTTAACAGTATATTCCATGATTTGCAGGGAGCAAAACCTGGAGAGGGTGGTGAACTTCCTGGACACAAGGTCATTGGTGACATTGCTGTCACTAGGAACTCCACTGCTGGGGTAGGACTAATTAGTCCTCCTCCCCACCATGATATCTACTCAATCGAGGATCTTGCTCAATTGATTCATGATCTTAAGGTAAATTGTGCAGACCTATAATTTCTCTTGAATTTACATTCTGAACTGATATTTTTTGTCATATCAAATCATTTGTAAAATTATAATGTGATGTTTCTGCTACTGCTCTTGTAGAATGCAAACCCAGGGGCTCGAATAAGTGTGAAGCTTGTTTCTGAAGCTGGTGTTGGGGTGATAGCAAGTGGTGTTGTGAAAGGGCATGCTGATCATGTTTTGATCTCTGGCCACGATGGAGGTACAGGAGCATCACGATGGACTGGCATCAAGAGTGCTGGACTTCCATGGGAACTTGGTCTTGCTGAAACCCATCAGACTTTAGTTGCAAATGACCTTCGTGGCCGAACAACTCTACAGACAGACGGTCAGTTAAAAACTGGAAGAGATGTGGCTATGGCAGCAATGCTTGGTGCCGAGGAGTTTGGTTTCAGCACTGCCCCTCTAATAACCCTGGGATGTATAATGATGCGAAAATGCCATAAAAACACCTGTCCGGTGGGGATTGCAACTCAAGATCCTGTTCTTCGGGAAAAGTTCGCCGGAGAACCAGAACATGTGATAAATTTCTTTTTCATGCTAGCGGAAGAGGTAAGGGAGATTATGGCCTCACTTGGTTTTCGAACACTGAAGGAAATGGTTGGCCGTTCAGACATGCTTGAGCTAGATAAAGATCTAGTCAAGAACAATGAGAAGCTGAAGAACATTGATCTCTCCTTGCTACTCCGACCAGCTTCTGATATACGACCAGATGCTGCTCAATGTTGTGTGCAGAAGCAAGATCATGGTTTGGACATGGCTTTAGATAACACATTAGTAGAATTATCCAAAGCTGCTTTAGAGAGAAGTCTTCCTGTATACATTGAATCTCCAATCTGCAATGTAAACCGGGCAGTTGGTACCATGCTTAGTCACGAAGTAACAAAGCGTTATCACATTAGTGGATTGCCCACTGACACAATTCATATCAAACTCAGTGGAAGTGCAGGACAGAGTCTTGGAGCTTTTCTATGCCCTGGAATCACCCTTGAGCTTGAAGGTGATAGCAATGATTATGTGGGTAAAGGGTTGTCAGGTGGAAAGATTATTGTTTATCCTCCAAAAGGAAGTACATTTGACCCGAAAGAGAACATTGTAATTGGTAACGTTGCTCTCTATGGCGCGACAAATGGGGAGGCTTATTTTAATGGAATGGCAGCAGAAAGGTTCTGTGTCCGTAATTCAGGGGCCAAGGCTGTGGTCGAGGGTGTTGGTGATCATGGTTGTGAATACATGACAGGTGGAACAGTAGTTGTGCTTGGTAAAACTGGACGAAACTTTGCTGCTGGAATGAGTGGTGGCATTGCATATGTACTTGATGTGGATTCTAAGTTCAGCTCACGTTGCAATAATGAGTTAGTTGACCTTGATAGAATTGAAGATGAGGATGATATTATGACAATCAAGATGATGATTCAGCAACACCAACGTAATACCGACAGCAAAGTTGCAAAAGAAGTTCTTGCTGATTTTGACAATTTCTTGCCCAAATTTATCAAGGTTTTCCCAAGAGAGTATAAGCGGGTTCTCACAAGCATGAGGGAAGCTGAAGCTCGCAAAAAGGCTGCGGTATGTGCAGCCAAAGAATCAGAAGATCGAGAAGAAGAATTGATAGGGGAAGATGCTTTTGAAGAGCTTAAGAAATTGGCAGCAGGATACTCTGACGGGAAATCTGTCAAGGTGATTGTTCTGTGTTGAATTTTCACTTTAATTCTTATGATGACTGCATGTTCTTGAGAAACCATGGTTATTGTAGTTCTATAAGAATCGAAACACTTTTCAGTTTTCACTTGAGGTTTTCGAGAATGCTCAAGAAAATTGGACTAGTAGTGCCCTTGTGCTATTTCATAGCTTTTAAATTCACTTCATATGTGCAGTCGGCCAGTCACCACTTAAAAATCTCTATCTATTTCTGCCTATGATTTGTCCCTGTGGCCCTGCCTATGATCCGATTAAGCTCTGCCTAACCCAGCCTAGATTCTAGGTACTAGTCTGTGTTTAGGAGTCGCCTAGTACTGTTTAGCCAAAAGGGGATAGCATTTGTAAACTCCTTTTTAGTCCCTCCCTTTTGCACATTCAATGCCATTTCTTACCATCTTTGCTATTTTTTTCTAAGATCAGGTTGAAGAGGTGAAACCTGTGAAGAGGCCAACGAAAGTTGATGATGCAGTCAAACATCGAGGTTTTGTAAATTATGAGCGAGAAGGGGTTTTGTACAGGGAACCAAGTGTTCGTTTGAGAGACTGGAAAGAGGTCATGGAAGAGACTAAGCCTGGCCCACTTTTAAATACACAGGCAGCACGCTGTATGGACTGTGGTACCCCTTTCTGCCATCAGGTACATATTGTCTACAATTGATTTTGTCATAAATTAATACTCTGTTTCCAAACTTGAAGATTTATTATATTCACGTTTTTCCAACAATGAACAGGAAAACTCTGGTTGTCCTCTAGGAAATAAAATACCAGAATTCAATGAATTGGTGTATCAAAACAGATGGAGGGAAGCACTGAATAGGCTTTTAGAGACTAATAACTTCCCAGAATTCACGGGCCGTGTGTGCCCAGCACCCTGTGAGGGGTCTTGTGTACTTGGTATTATTGAAAACCCTGTCTCTATTAAAAGCATTGAATGTGCCATCATTGACAAAGCTTTTGCGGAAGGATGGATGGTGCCGCGACCTCCTAGCAAGAGAACAGGGTATGCTATGTGGTCTCCCTTTTCCCCTTGATCATTTATGACCCTGCTCTGCTTATTCTTTTTGTTGTTGGTTCCCCTTATTCACATTCATTGTGCTTTTTTCTATAACCCTTTGAGTTGTGTGTTCTAATGGATTTTGTAATTGTGTAATATTCACATGTTTATAATAATAATAATAATAATAATAATAATAATAATAATAATAATAATAATAACAGCAACAACAACATTTTTGTGTTACAGAAAACGAGTTGCTGTGGTCGGAAGCGGACCAGCTGGTCTGGCTGCTGCTGATCAGTTGAACAAGAAGGGTCACACAGTGACAGTTTTTGAGCGCGCTGATCGAATTGGTGGTCTTATGATGTATGGAGTACCCAACATGAAGGCCGACAAAACTGATATAGTCCAGAGACGAGTGGATCTGTTGGAAAAGGAAGGCATTAACTTTGTAGTTAATGCTAATGTTGGGAAAGATCCTTTGTTCTCCCTTGATCGGCTTCGAGAGGAGCATGAAGCAATTCTTTTGGCCATAGGATCGACAAAACCAAGGTATGTAATGTGATTGACTTTCTAAGTAATTGTCTCTGAATATACTTATAAAAGTATGCTTCATGTTTATTATTTCTAAGTGTCTTCCATTTTTGGTGAAGTGAATGGTTGCGTTATTTAACTTCTTATGTATATGAGACTGATAGATTAAATTGGCAGGGACCTTCCTGTTCCTGGACGTGAACTGTCTGGAGTCCATTTTGCCATGGAGTTCCTACATGCTAATACTAAAAGCTTGCTTGATAGCAATCTAGAGGATGGTAATTACATTTCTGCAAAGGACAAGAAGGTGGTAGTTATTGGGGGTGGTGATACTGGCACAGATTGCATAGGGACTTCTATTCGACATGGCTGTAGCCGTGTAGTTAACCTAGAGCTTCTCCCACAGCCTCCAAAGACTAGGGCTACTAGCAATCCTTGGCCACAGGTGTGGTCATGCCTTCAAAGTTTTATGTTGTTCCTGCTTGTTTTTACTTGAAATGCTAGCATAGACACTGCTACCTTCACATGCCTTTCAAAAAGGGATAGACCAAACCTACCCTTACCAAAAGTTATTAGAAGATCATAAAGTGTTTTCACTAACAGGAAGTGTGCAGGCGAAAGGGATGTGATTGCAATTCTTAATCTCTAAATTTCTTGTGATTCCAACTCTTTCTTCGTAACGGACACAAAGTTTAAGAAAAATGAAATTTAAAACTAATACTCCCTCCATCCCAAAATTGATTATAATTTTTTTCTCTCACTTGATAACTTTTGTTTATTTTCATTCATTATTTGATAGAATAAAATATTCTTGTCACTTGTTATTTTGTAGAACTTTTGATGCAGTGTCTTAATATGTAATTTTTATTCTTTATTGATGTACCGATTTGTAAACAAAAATGGTTTCAAAAGACATATTATTTTGCCTCATAACTCCCAGTTTGTAGTCAGAATTGCTACAGAGGGAGTATGTGAGGTTCAAATTTGTATATTTTTTTCGAAGGGTAAAGTATTGTGAACCACATTGGTTTTCTTGGGGCAGACAAAAAGGACAGTTGTTTTTTAAGGAACAAATGAGGTATTTATTTAGTTCTTTTTTATAATGTTAATTGTTAAACATACACTTCTCCAATATGATGGACACATATGAGGTAGCTTGGGCTCATGAGAAAAAGAATTGCAGTGGCCGGGTGAGGAGATAAGGGAGGCTTGTTGTAGTGAACGCGAGAAGGGGTAGAAGTAGACTTAGGAGAATTAGAAGGAGATGATTAAACATAATATACGACATCAGGATCTTATTGAGAATATTGTCTTAGACAAGAACATTTGGAGATTAGGACCAGCGTTCTTGGGTAGACCTCTTGGTCTTAGTTTGTAGTTTATGATGTGTTTTCTTCCTTTCTCTGTACGCTGTGTATGCTTGCATTTTGTGTTTTGAGTCTTGTACCTAGTATGGGTTTATGTGCGTTGTGTCTCTGTGGTTCTTGCTTAGTTCGTGATAATGCGTTTTTTGATGTGTTCAAGCCGGGGATCTCTTTAAAACAGTCTCTACCCTGTCAAGAAGAGGCAACACCCCTAGACCCTATTTTCGTGGGATTTTACTAGTTTTTTTCCCAATATCATTCATTCATTATTGTTCAATGCCTGATTATAGATGGGAATAGTTCTTTCGTATATAAATATTAATAGTAGTGTGCGATTGACAGTGGCCTCGTGTATTTCGAGTTGATTATGGACATCAAGAGGCTGCCACAAAATTCGGCAAGGATCCAAGGACCTATGAGGTGCTAACAAAGCGTTTTATTGGTGACGAAAATGGAGTGGTGAAAGGTCTTGAAGTGGTTCATCTTGAATGGGAGAAGGATGCCACAGGGAAATTGCAATTCAAGGAAATAGAAGGTTCTGAGGAAATCATTGAGGCAGATCTAGTGTTGCTTGCGATGGGGTTCCTTGGTCCCGAATCTGTAAGCGTCACATTAATTTGTTTTGCAATAGTTAAAAAAAATTACTGCCTTTGTGTGTGAGGAACTAATAAACTCACAATTTGTTCCATGTGCTTGAGCAGACCATAGCTGACAAACTGGGCCTGGAGAGAGATAACAGGTCGAATTTAAAGGCCGAATACGGACGCTTCTCCACCAATGTGGAAGGGGTGTTTGCTGCTGGAGACTGCCGGAGAGGTCAGTCCCTTGTAGTGTGGGCCATCTCAGAGGGGCGACAAGCGGCTGCACAGGTCGATGGTTACCTCATGCAAGACCAAGAAAACTCTACCACTAGTAGCAGCAGTACAGCTTGGCAGACAGACTTTCTCCAGAAACAGCAGCAGCAGCAGCAAGGAAGCAGCAACAGACAGATTGTGGTTTCCTGAATTGTACGTACGGAGTGTTTGTTAGCTTGCCTGAGATTCGATTTCTTCGTTCAAGACAGCGCCTTACCGGTCTGTATCCATAGTTCTCATTATATTGAAAGAGAACTTCACGGAGATGATTGGGGTTTCTATGTTTTTTTATTTTATATATAGACACAAATATACATATATCCTAGGTTGTTATGTGGTCATTTTATATTTTTTTGTTCTTAGTGGTGCATGTTGGTTTGAAGGCCAGCTATGCACACTTAAAATAAATGTACAGTTTTCTTTTCTGAATCGTTCAAATCCCAATTATGAATCTTCTGCTGAGTTTATGTGCCCGCCAATCATATCATATGATGAATATATTATGATTATATGTTATGCTCATCATAAATAATAGACCGTGGTCGGTGAAGATTATTTACATTTCTCGTGTATCTAAACATAGTTTTTATAGATTTAGATCTCTCTGGTGGCATATATTAGAATTAGGGTGTTTTGATTATAAAGTTCTTACTTTTAAAAAGAAGTTATTTCTAAAATGTCTTAGTTGAATATTATGATAATATATCATATTCGATCTGTTCTGTTTTAAATTGCTCGTTTTGACTTTGAGGGATATTTAAGGAGAAAAAATAGAGTTGATTTTCCAAAATTGTCAAATGAGGAGATAAAGTGGAGAAGAATGACTTATTTTAGGGGTAGTTTAGTTATTTTTTATTCTTAAAAATTTACGATAACAAGAAACAGACAATTGAAACAGAGAAAAAATGAAAACTGACAATTTAAAATAGGACAGAGGGAGTAATTAATACATACGAGACAAGATAACTGTTTCTCATAGCTATATATATGGGAGAGCTCCCAAGATAGGAGTAAAAAACTATGAAAATTTTAAAATAAGATTCTTAAGTTTTTTAAGACCAAAATAAGAGTTCACACTGCCATTATTGCACTGTCACGCTCATTACATTATCACATTGTAACTGCCACATTATCACCCCTACCGGCCACCAGAGTGCCGCCGCGGATGGTCGACGATTGACTGATGACACTGATATATTACACTCTCATCACCTTTTCATCACAGTGCCAACAGGTATTCTTACATCATACTAACATTATACTCTTATTTTGGTTTTAAAAGACTTACTACTCATACTTTGGGACTTTCAATTTTTTTTACTCATATTCAAGGAGATTTATATATATATATATATATATATATATATATATATATATATATATATATATATATATATTGTGATATCTCAATCTCAGAACTATATTAACATTATACTCCTATATATAATCTTTTTGTACTTTCGAACGGTATAATTTTTTATTTTTTATTTCTTTACCAGTTTCTAAATAAAACAATTTTTAAAAAAATGATATTTTGCACATCCTTCAAAATTTCCCAAACAATATGAGACGGAGGAAGTAGTTAAGAATTCAAAATCTTCAAACATATCCACGCACATCTCCTCATCCTCATCGCCACCAGGATTGGCATCTTGATTACCTACGTGGACCAAAAGAATAAACGCTACACGCTCAGGATGGAAAGCTAAGTGAGAAAACATTCATTTATACATATAAACAATTTCACTAGTTCATAACATCATACGATATCATGCACACTAGTACATCACGATTATCAACATCACAATTCAATCCACAAATATTATCAATAATAAAAGATATTATGCTCTCATTGTTTTAGTCATATAACTTACATACTTAGCTCATAACCTATTATAGGTTAAAGCTTACACTAACCCTGACTTGCTTAATTAGAGTCATGACCTTCCATGATTCTCCTATATTATTTGAATATAGGGCGGTTGAATTTCCATCTAAGTATATATATTGCACGTTCCAAGTATTTGAATATTAAGGTGTCACTAAAATAGGGGAGGATTGTTGGTAATTTTAGTCTTATTGACTATTTTATGCAATTGAATTTTCTTAGATCAGACAAGAATTTTAATAGGCCTTGTTAACGAGTTAGGTGGTGCGAATGCATGCTTGTTGAATGATATTACAAATTTGTAGTAGGGTCTAAGGGGCGGCAACCCCTGGTCGGGTCCAAGGGGCATACTGGGTGGAGTCAAAATAAGAAATATTTGAATGTAAGGATCATGTTAGTGTTAACTTCCAACACTCTATGGAAGGAACACATATATTTGAATATTTACCCTTAAACATTCAACTGTTTCATGATAAAATGCAATGATTTGCTTAGAAAACTGGTGAAACGTAATGTTTATCCATAACGGGTGCATACATTCAAATTTTCTATGTAAAGTTGTGTTTTTTATCAACAGATGCGTCTAATAATTTGTACTCTACAAATATGGAGTCTCACTCTATGATTGAAAAATGACAGAACTTCCATACTTATTCTAGATACTAATATCTTATCCGGCTGAAGTATTTTAGTATACCCCAAAATTACTTTAGTCTGAAAGTGATCACACAATTTGTTTAGTCTATTACGTTTCTTCGCGTTCATTCATATACCATTTCTTATAAAGTTGCTATGGAGCGTTATCACTCTTCTTGGATTTCCATCATACCCCAACACATCTCCAGCCACAAAATTCTTATCCACACTTTAATTTTTAGTAATAAATTAGTGATTAGGTTTTATGGAGAATGAACTTATGGTATTGGGCCTTCTTATCAATTACTCCATATTTAAATTCATATTTACACATTCATTTAGAATTATTTAAGTACTTTTTTAAATGATGTCAAAAGCTAAATGTGTACTATTTAGTATCAACGAGGTACTGCACTAAAAAAACAAAAGCACAAATATACAGAGTATTCTTTATATTATGCTCGTTATAAACTTTTATATTTATATTCCAATATATTCATTAACATATTGAATGGAATGTGTATAAATTCATATTCCTATTTTTTTAAATTCCAATAAATATTTATATTCTTTGTCGTAATTATTTTTTACACATGAATCCCAAATTGAATCAAAATTATTCGTTCGTTTTATAGCTCTGTCGATGGAGTACTTTTTGTATAGCAGTCATCCAATATACTCCCTCTGTCCTAAAATTAACTTCTCATTTGACTTTTCACGGTCTCCAATGCGACACTTTGACCATCAATATCTCAATTTTTATATAAATATATTTTATAAAAATTATATATTTCAAAACTATATTCCAAAATGAAGCTATTGCTAATAATTTATATGCAATTTCAATGTATTTTTTCTTAATCTACGGTCAAAGTTTAAAAAGTTTGACTGCAAAAATAAAACTAGGAAATTAATTTTAGGACGGAGGGAGTATATTTGGACAAAGCTATTTATACCCCAAACTTTTGTACCCCATTTGTACACCGCATGTTTGACATTTTGTGTTGGTGTAAAACTAATTTTTGTTAACGCATCAACACTTTGTGTCCGTGTAAATTTTTTTAACGCACCAACACTTGTGTCAGTGTAACCCATCAAAATATTTGTGTATAACTGTAGTGTACAAATGAGGTACAATTTGTAGTGTGAGTGTAGCATGACTTTGATAGTTGATACCTAACACATACTAAGAATCTGTTGGGATGACGGTCACAACATTTATACTTTAAAAATAAAGGTCAAAAGTGGAGAGGGGAACGCGGGATTATCCAATATGATCCAACATGGCTGAATAATACTTCACGGTTCAAGACCGATTCTCGGAACAGTACTTAAAAAGACCATGTCTTTGCCTCAGCTGCCTCTTGGTAAAACTTCCCCCTCCTGCCTCTCTCTCTCTCTCTCTCTCTCTCTCTCTCTCTCTCTCTGTCTGTGTGTGTGTAAAAAGCGATCGTGTTTTGGGGTGGATCTGTTTAATTGTTCATCTTGATGTTTCAATTTGTATCCTTGTTTATGCATTTCCCTTTATTTTGAGAAAAGGGCCGGACCAGATTTTTCTATCACCATTCTCACCTCTATCGTGCTATTTTGTTCATTTTCTTTTTGTTTCGTGCACCATTTTAGTGTGATTGGGTTCAGCCCCCAACCTAGGGTTTGCACTTGTTGAGTTAATATTGTTTTCCTTTTCCCCTTATGGCTTAGAACCATGCGCATGATGTTCTGTTACAATTTTGCCTGATTTTTTTATGTGGGATTGGCTTGATTTATCATTTTTTTCATGTACTGTGGTGATAGAATGAGGCTTTTAAATGATTTCTGGAATTAGATTGCATAGTGACTGAGTAGAAAACGTGTTTGCACCATACTATATGCAGCTTTTACTGCATATGCTACTGAATTATGATGTGAAATTTTATTATAGGTATCCCCGAAGAGGCTAGGTGGAAAACCCGGTTGCAAGAATTCACCCAGAAAGCTTCTATACCACTTCCTGTATATGAAACTAGTAATGAAGGGGGCCCACACGCACCACTCTTTCAATCACGAGTGTGGGTCGATGGAATATGCTTCATTTCCTCAAATACATTTTCAAACAGAAAGATGGCCGAACAGGATGCTGCAAAGCTTGCATTCATTTGCACTGTGCAAAAAGTAAAGGAGGAGGGATATTCACTCATACGTGAGGTGTGATAATTCTCACTGTTTAGATTCGCAATCTATATTCTGTGCAATATCTGAATGGTTTTGAAGCCAGCCATTAATCCGATCCATAGTTATTTAAGGCGCGATGCGCACCGATGCACAAAGTACCTCTAGCGCCTCGATGCGCGAGGTGCACTTGATGCGCGCGCATCACGAACACAATGCGCATATTAAGGCACTAGTAGAATCTTGAATATATAGTATATCTACATTAAGAATAATATATATAAAATTTTTAAAAGCATAATAAAGGTTTAGAAATCAATTAAGATTGAAAGTCACACATTGAACCATTGAGCATTGACAAAACTAAAAACCATAAAGTTCAAAGAGCAACAGAAGTCATAGACAAAAAGCATTCAAAGAGCAACAAAATGATAGACAAAATCA